CGAGCCACCACACCCAGCCCCAGTTTTTCTTTAGAAGTAGGAGTAAGGGTGGAAACAAAAATGAAAGAAAAAATTTTAATTAATTGTGCAATCATGATGAAAATTTATATTTTCTGTAATTTTTTTCAAGCCCCATTTGTGGACGATTTAACTTAGTTGAAATTGTAATACAGTATTTGTATATTGTTTATATACTGTTATCCTTTAAGTATTTTCTTGTGTTGCTACATTGCTACATTTAAAGAATGGTGTGCAAGGTTGGCATAACCTCTGGAAAATGAGACCTGGACCTCCTGCATGTTTTGCTTTCATGTACAGGGCTGAGTCCCAACTGCTGACAGTGCTGGTTCATTCCCTGGTCTGTAATAAAATGAGAAAAATAAGGATATGACTACAAGTTTTTTACGGAAGCTTAAATATATTCAGTTGAAGGCACCATCCATCCCGGGATTATTTATTTATTTATTTATTTATTTATTGGCCCCGACAATCTGGTCTTACTAATTTTTTGGTCATAAAATGTTTCTATAAGAATGGAAGCCTGGTTGCAGTGGCTCACGCCTGTAATCCCAGCAATTTGGGAGGCCGAGGCAGGCAAATCACCTAAATTCAGGAGTTCTAGATCAGCCTGGTCAACATGGTGAAACGCCGTCTCTACTAAAAATACCAAAAAATTAGCCAGGCGTGGTGGCACGCGCCTGTAATCCCAGCTACTTGGGAGGCTGAGGCAGGAGAATCACTTGAACCCGGGAGGTGGAGGCTGCAGTGAGCTGAGATCATGCCATTGCACTCCAGCCTGGGCAACAAGAGTGAAACTCTGTTTAAAAAAAAAAAAAGAATTAAAGATAATAGTAGTTGGTAGTTTTAAAAAATGTACCTTATAGGGGGAAAAAAAAAAAAAAACACCAAACAGTGGCTTTTGTTTCTTCCCAACATTTGGGAACCTTTTTTTCCTGATTGGTAAAATCTCAGTTTGTGAGATAAAATAGAGATAAAATAATTAGATTGTACTCATGGAAGCATACACAAGGTCAGATCTTGCTGAAACCCTCTAATAAAGCAAATCTCAATTAATAATGGTAATTAGAGCCTGTGCAAACAATGGGAAGAGTTCTGCCATTGGTTTTTCTTCCTGTTAATTAGTTTAATAAATAAACTGGTGGGTACCTTGTACAGGCTTGAATCAGGGCTGCAGAAGAACACTTGTATGCAGACATCTACCGTAGATCGTAGAATGTTGGCCAGGGCTCCGTTGTGGGAAACAAAAACCATGAGCTATTTTAACTGAAAGGGTTTACCCTGGGAAGTGAGAGTTTACAGAGTCATTGGAAGGGCTGCTGTATTAGTTTGCCAGGGCTGCTATAATAAGATCAAGGTCTTGGGGGTTAGGACTTCAACATACGAATTTGGGGGTAGGGGAGCACAAGTCAGCTCATAACAGCTGGGGAGCAGGCTTTAGGCCTAGCCCTGAGAAATGACTCCCAGACTAAGGCTGCAGAACTGACCCCGTGGAGAGTCACCACCTTGGTCACAGACAGCAGAGGGAGGAATCAGGGAGTCCCTGCTGTAGTTGCTCGATCCAGGGGTGTATGTTCTGAGCTGTGATTCTGGGATCAGGAAGCTGCAGCCACTGCTGTAGTGTTGGAAGCCAGGCAGCGTGAGCTCCAGTCATTGCATCCACACTACAGGTTTAAGAAGGAGGAAGGACAGAAGGTTGTGCTCCACCCTTTAAGGACTCTTCCTAGAAGTCAGACAGAACGTCTGGTCACACTGTTGGACAGAACTTAGTCACGTGCAACATCTAGCTGCACGGGAGGCTGGGAAATGTAGTCTTTGTTCCCAACAGCCATGCACACACAGGGCCAAAAATCTCCAGGAGTATGATGAAGGGAAAATGGGGGAATGGAGTTGGGGGGGTCAAGAGTGGTCTCTGCTGCACCTCCCTGAACAGAGACTCTGGGAGACTAGTAATGCATTCAAAATAAAGTGGCCCGTGTGGCCAAGGTTCTCCTCCAGAGCCTAAGCCCTTGGCCACAGGAGCTCACGCCTCCTCTCATTTCCTGTGAATGACTGTGTGCAATGTAAGCACGGAGCTTCTGCACTCTCATGGCCAGGTACTCTCCATGTGGCCAGAAACAGCAGTTCCTGAGGGGGCTCATGTTGTAGGTGATGATACAAAGAAGAGAAAGAGAGGGATCAGTTTTCCTAAGTTTGCATTTCATTTCAGAGTGAATAGTTTGTGAGGTGGGGCATCCCTGTCTCCTGGAGAAATGTATTTTTAATCTAATTGTTTATTATCTTTGCATAGCCCCTGGTCCAACTCATGACCCTTCAGTAACAACTGTTGCCACAGCGGAAAGTGGCGTAACCCAGATCAGCAGTAAAGCAACATCCTTTTACAAACTGAATGGAACTGGAACACCTCAGGTGCCAACAAATACCAGTGAGGGTGGCGAAGACTCTGGAGCCAATGATAGTTTAAGAACACCTGAACAAGGATATAATGGGACTGATGGAGCATCTCAAAAAACTCCCAGTGCTACTGGTAAGCATGGGCTTTTCTGCCAAGCAGTCATGATTCTTAAAGGAAATCGATATAATTTAAAATGTCATGTTTTCCAAATATTGTTCTTCTTTCAATTACCTAAGAAAATCTTTAAAACAATTTTTATAATGATGGTAATGCATATTTATTATATAAAATATAGACAAGAAGAAAAGAATAACAAGTAAATCATTAACTGGAGATAACCACTGATCACTTGATATACGAGTTTTACAATTTTAAGATGTGTACGTGCCTGTGTGCGTATGTATATACATATATATACGTTTTATTTTGTTTTACAAGTATCAAGGTCATCCTTTACATGTAGTTTCTCAACAATATATTACAAGTATTCTTCCCTGTTAGTATGTACATTTCTACAGGACAGTTTTAATACCTGCCTGGCATTCTGTTGTCTAAATCAGGGTTGGTAGATAATAATGGTTCTTGGGCCAAATATGGCTCACTTCCTGTTTTTGTAAGTAAAGTTTTATTGAGTCTGCCTATGGCTGCTTTCATGCTAGAATTGAGTAGTGGCAATGGAGAATATGTGGCTTGTAAAACCTGAAATATTTATTCTCTGGCCCTTACAGAAAAACATTGCTGAGACCTGGGTTAGATCAGTGATTCTAAAACTGTGGTTCAGAGATCTCTAGGGGTCTCCTAGATTCTTTCAAGGTATTTCTGGGTATTATCATAATACTACTAACATGTTATTTGGCTTTTTTACTCTCATTTTATCATGAGTGTACAGTGGAGTTTTGCAGATTCTATATGATATGGGATGACGCTGTCACTCTAACAGCTAATGGAATGTATGCTTTTGTATTGTTATGTTTAAAAAACTTTATCTTTTTAATTTATAATACAGTATGGTAAATATTAATCAAGATAACCCATATAAACAAAAATTCTCCAAGAGCCTTAATAATTCTTAAGCAGTTAGAAGGGCCCTGAGACCACAGTGTTGAAGAATTACTTGTCTAGAAGCATTGTAAATTATTTAACTACTCCCCTGTTGTTGAGAAGGTAGATTATTTAAATTATTTACATTTTTTTCATAAAAAACATTGTGATACAATAGTTTTGTTAGTTCTAAAAGTATTGATAGTATCATTTCACATACACAGTTAAATCATTGAATTATTTCTAGGGTAATATGAGAAACTTTTAGAAATTGCTAGGGGGCTGGGCACAGTGGGTCACGCCTGTAATCCCGGCACTTTGGGAGGCTAAGGCAGGTGATCATCTGAGGTTGGGAGTTCGAGACCAGCCTGGCCAACATGGCAAAACCCTATCTCTACTAAAAATACAAAAGTTAGCTGGGTGTGGTGGTGCGTGCCTGTAATGCCAGCTACTTGGGAGGCTGAGGCAAGAGAATTGCTTGAACTCAGGAGGTGGAGGTTGCAGTGAGTGGAGATGGTGCCACTGCACTCCTGATAGAGTGAGACTCTGTCTCAAAAAAAAAAAAGTAAATAAATAAAAGAAATTCCTAGGGAGCTTATGTTAAGTATTGTTACAAAAATTTGGGCTTAGGGCACCCCCTAGTACTTCAGTGGCCGTTGTAGTCCTAGGGGTTGGGACCATACCAGATAGTCTGCCCAGAAATCTCTGGACAGGCTTACTGTTGAAGGGCATTTCCAGAGGAAGCCAATCTACAATGACTGGAATAAGAACCTACTTCTTCAAATGTACAGACATCAACAGAGAGTCACAAAGATCAAGAATAATCAGGCAAACATGATATTACTGGAGAGACAAAATAAAGTGCAAGTGGTTGACCATAAAGAGATGGGAGATGTATGAACTGTCTGGCAGAGAATTCAAAATACATGTTTTAAGGAAGCCTAGCAAACTTTAAGAAGATACAGATAAATAATTCAAAGAAATGAGGAAAAAAATAAGTGACTAGATTGAGATAATTAACAGAAAAGCAAACAGAAATTCTGAAGCTAAAAAATACTTTGAACAAAATGAAAAATGTAGTAGAGAGCACCAAGAGTAGAATTGATCAAGCAGAAGAATAATCTTTCAACTTAAAGACAGATTATTTGAAAATATACAGTCAGAGGAGGAAAAAGAAAAAGTGGATAAAAAGGAATGAAGAATGCCTATAGGATTTATAGGACAGCATCAAAAGAGGTAGTGTTTGAATCGGAGTTCATCTAGAGGAAGAGAAAGATAAAGAGGTAGAAAGCTTATTTAAAGAAATAGTAGCAGAAAACTCTCCAAACCTGGAGAAAGATATAAATATCCGGTATGGGAATGAAAAATGACCCCAATCAGAGTCAATTCAAACAAGACTACTCCAGAACATAATCACACTGTCAGACATCACAGATAATGGGGATTTGGAAAGCAAAAAGAGAAAAGAAGCAAATAACATATAAGGGAGCTCCACTGTAGCTAGCAGCAGACTTCTCAGCAGAAACTTACAGGTCAGGAGAGAGTGGGATGATATATTCACAGTGCTGAAAGAAAACAATCTGCCAACCAAGATTACTATACCCAGCAGAACTGGCCTTCAAAAATGAAGATGAGATAAAAGACTTTCCCAGAGAAACAAAAGCTGAGGGAGTTCATCACCACTAGACATGTCTTATAAGAAATACTAAAGAGCATTTTTAAGCCAAAAGAAAAGGACACTAATGATTAATTGAAAACATATGAAAGGATAAGACTAGTAAAATACACAGCCAGATTCAGAATACATGAATACTGTAATGGTCATACGCATCTTTAGTATGAAAATTAATAGATAATACTTAAAAAATAATAACTACAGTAACTTGTGGGGGGATATGCATATAAAAAGATGTAAATGGTGACATAAACAATTAATAATGTGAGGGGGGGAATGGACTAGAAGTGTAGAGGTCAGTTTTTGTGCATGTGATCAAAGTTGTCACCAGCATAAAATAACTTGTTATAACTATAAGATTCTTTTTATAAGCCTCATGGTAACCACAAAGAAGAACCTTTAGTAGATACACAAAAATTAAAAAGCAAGGAATCAAAACATGCTACTAGAGAATATCACTTAACCTCAAAGGAAGATAGTAAGAGAGGACAAAAGGAAGAAAAAGTCTAGAAAACAACCAAATGGCAGTAGTAAGTTCTTACCTATCAATAGAAACGTTGAAAGTAAAGGGTTTAAATTCTCCAGTCAAAAGACATAGAGTGCGTGAATGGGTAAAAAAAAAAAAAAAAAAGCAAACTCAATAATATGCTGTTTACAAGAGACTCACCTCACCTGCAAGGACATGCCTAGACTGAAAGTGAAGGGATGGAAAAAGATACTGCATGCTAATGGAAATCTAAAGAGAGCCAGGAGTAGCTATCCTTATATCAGATAAAATAAACTTTAAGTTCAAAACTTTTAATAGAGACAACAAACATCATTTTATAATGATAAAGGGATCAATTAATCAAGAAGTCTTAACAATTGTAAATATATATGTAACCAGCATTGGAATGCCTAAATATATAAAGCACATATTAATGGATCTGAATGGAGAGACTGACTGCAATGCAACCGATACCTTACTTCCAGCAGTGGATGATGATCCAGACAGGAAATCAATAAGGAAGCATCAAACTTAAACTACAGTTTAGACCAAATGGATGTATCAGACATATACGGAATATTCCATCCAACAGCTACAGAATATACACTTTTCAATTGCACTTGGAACGTTCTCCAGGTAGATCATATGTTAGACCACAAAACAAGTCTTAACAGATTTAAGAAGTGTGAAATCGTATTGAATATCTTTTCTGATGATGGCATCAAACTAGAAATAAATAACAGGAGGAACTTCAGAAAATTCACAGATGTATGGAAATTAAACAACATGCTCCTGAACAACTAATGGGTTGATGATGAAATTAAAAGGGAAACTAAAAAATATCTTGAGACAAACATCACTTCTTAAGCAAATTTGTTAACATATTTCTTCTTCTTTAAAATGATGCCATAACCACCTTCATGAAGTTACTGTGAGACATAAATTAGAAAATGCTTGTACAGCCCTGGTACAGGATCTGGGACATGGTCAGGTCCCCAATAAGGGTGATGCTGATCTTGCCATCTCCCACAGTAACTATTGTTAATTGTTTTGTCACAGATGCCCCTGAACAATCAATGGGTCAGTGAAGAAATTAAAAGAGAAATTTAAAAATTTCTTGAAGCCAATGAAAATGGAAACACAATATACTAAAGCTTATGGGATACACCAAAAGCAAGCAACCCTTCCAAGAAGGTTGACAGCAATAAACTCCTACATCAAAAAAGAAAGCTCCCTGGGCATGGTGGCTCATGCCTGTAATCCCAGAACTTTGGGAGGCCGAGGTGGGTGGATCACTTGAGGTCAGGAGTTCGACACCAGCCTGGCCAACATGGTAAAACCCCGTCTCTGCTAAAAATACAAAAATTGGTCAGGTGTAGTGACACACACCTGTAATCCCAGCTACTAGGGAGGCTGAGACAGGAGAGTTGCTTGAACCCAGAGGGCAGAGATTGCAGTGAGCCGAAATCACACCACTGCACTCCAGCCTGGGCAACAGAGCAAGATTCCATCTATCTATCTATCTATCTATATATATATAAAAATAAAGCAAGCTCACACCTCCAGCCTGGGTATTGAGAACCTGTCTGAAAAAAGCAAAAAACAAAACCCTCAAGTAAAAAACCTGATGTGGCACGTTAAGGAACTAGAACAACAAGAACAAACTAATCTTCAAATTAGTAAAAGAAACAAAATAATAAAAGTCAAAGCTGAAATAAATGAAATAGGCACTAGAAAAACAATAGAAAAGATCAATAAATTAAGTTGTTTTTTTGAAAAGATAAGGAATATTGACAAAGCTTTAGCTAGACTAAGAAAAAAGAGACACTACTCAAAGAAAATCAGAAATGAGAGACATTATAAACTGACACCACAGAAATACAAAGGAACAATCATGAACAATTATATGCCAACAAATTGGATAACCTAGAAGAAATGGATAAATTCCTTGCCATATACCGTTTACTACGATTGAATTACAAAGAAACAGAAAATCTGAATAATCCAATAATGAGTTAGGAGGTTGAATCAGTAACAGAACATCTCCCATTTCTATTTATTATTATTATTATTCTAAGAGACAGTGTCTCCCTCTGTCACCCAGGCTGGAGTGCAGTGGTGTGATCATAGATCACTGTAAGTTGAACTCCTGGGCTGAAATGATCCTTCTGCCTTAGTGTCACGAGTACCTGGGTGTGCTATAGGTGTGCACCACTACATCCAGCTAACTTTTAAAATTTTTTTGTAAAGATGGGGTCTCACTATGTTGCCCAGCTGGTCTTGAACTCCCAGCCTCAAGTGACCTCCCCACCTTGGCCTCCCAAAGTGCTGGGATTACAGGTGTGAGCCACCGCACCCAGTCCTCTGCCAAACATTTAAAGAAGGTCTAATGACAATTCTTCTCAAATGCTTCCAAAAATTGAGGAAGAGAGAATACTTCCAAACTCATTTAACAAGACCAGCATTACCTTGATACCAAAACCAGACAAGGCTGCAACCCAAAACACTACAGGCCAAGATGCAAAAATCTTTAACCAAATACTAGCAAACCTAATTTAACAGCATATTAAAGAGATCATTCACCATGATCAAGTGGGATTCTTCCAAGAAATGCAAAAAGGGTTCAACTTGTGCGAAACAATAAATGTGCTACACCATGTTAACAGAATGAAGGACAGAAACCATACGATCATTTCAGCAGATGCAGAAAAAACATTTGACCAAAAAATACTGTTAACTGTGCTTTCTTTTCTGAACTTAAGAACTTGCTTTTCCAAAACCTTCCCAGAATTCCTGTGTGAATCAATAAAATTTACTTCTTAAAGCATTTCTCCTTCTTTAAAATGGTGCCATTAGCCGGGCGTGGTGGCGGGCACCTGTAATCCCAGCTACTCGGGAGGCTGAAGCAGGAGAATCGCTTGAACCTGGGAGGCAGAGGTTGCGGTGAGCTGAGATTGTGCCATTGCACTCCAGCCTGGGTGATGAGCAAGACTTTGTCTCAAAAAAAAAAAAATGGTGCCATACTTTTCTCATGAAGTTGTTGTGAGGCGTAAATGAGAACATACTGTACAGCACCTGGGACATGGTTGGCCTCTCAAAAGGAGTGCTGCTGTTCTTGCTACCTATACCACTGCAACTATTGTTACTGTTTTATCATTATCCTCGTCACCATCATTGTTATTGATTGTAAATGGGAGCAGCTGCGATCATCTTCCAAATATGCCACTCTGACTCTGTGAACATGTCACTTTATAAAGAGGACACTCAAGCCTGGAGGGGCCTTCTGGCATGGTGTTTGTTGAATTGTGGGCCACAGGATCCTTCCCTGCTTGTTCCATTTTCCCTTCTCTTGTTTCTTCTCCTGCCTTTTAAATTAATTAATTAATTTTTTTCTTTTGAGACAGAGTCTCGCTCTGTTGCCCAGGCTGGAGTGTAGTGGCGCGATCTTGGCTCACTGCAACCTCCACCTCCTGGGTTCAAGCGATTCTCCTGCCTCAGCCTCCTGAGTAGCTGGGATCACAGGTGGCTGCCACCATACCCAACTAATTTTTGTATTTTTGGTAGAGACAGGGTTTCACCATGTTGGCCAGGCTGGTGTCAAGCTCCTGACCTCAAATGATCTGCCTGCCTCAGCCTCCCAAAGTGCTGGGATTACAGGCATGAGCCAGTGTGCCTGGCTTCCTGCAGTTTTTTTATTGATTGGATGAATGTTTGTATATCCCATGAGCCAGGTGAGGCACACTTTCCATGCACATACCAAGATGGTAACACTTATGCCATCTTTACTCCTTTGGGATTAGTCCCAAGTTCGTTGAGAATGATGGCCATATCACCTGGGTTTTACTCTTCAGTTTCTGGTTATTACTCCTCAGTCTTCAGCTTAATTAGGATGCATGCTTTTGGTAGTTCTACAGTTAGTAACCCTGATGGCTTCCACTGGTTTACGATCTTGTACATCTAAGATGATGAAACTAAGGTTCAGAGAGGTGAGATTACTTTGAGTAAAATTGCACGGTGAGCGACTAGCAGAATTGGACCCTGAAACCAGATTTCTAATGTCCAAATCTTGTCCCTTGTTTATCGTATCATGGTGGTTCAATAATAATTCATCGTGTTTAGTGTGGTGTGCTAGAGCTGTCAACAGAGGAATTGGAGATGGAGAGGTTTGAAGGGACTAAGTCTAGGCCACACAGCTAATGGATGGAGCAGGTCTTTAATCCCCGATCTGGGTTCCAAGACCAGTTCTTTTCTTTTTATGCTGCTCTGCCCCTGCTATCTTTATGTCAGAAAACCACTGAGCTTCCTTCTAGATGTCAGGGTTTGGCAAAAAAGTTAGCATGTGCTTCTGCATCATGCAGCGTTTTCTGAGAATGGGGAGATGGACTCATTTTGCATCTTTGATCTCTTTTTTTTATTTTGAGACGGAGTCTCAGTCTTATCACCCAGGCTGGAGTGCAGTGGCGCGATCTCGGCTCACTACAACCTCCACCTCCTGGGTTCAAGTGATTCTCCTGCCTCAGCCTCCCAAGTAGCTAGGATTACAGGTGCCTGCCACCACGCCCAGCTAATTTTTGTATTTTTGTAGTAGAGATGGGGTTTCACCATGTTGGCCAGGCTGGTCTTGAACTCGTGACCTCAGGGGATCCGTCCGCCTTGGCCTCCCAAAGTTTGGTCTCTTTTTGTATCAGCTTCTATACAGACCTAACCCCATTTTTAAGTCACAGCCAACATGACCAACTTCTATCAGTTTTGCTTCTGTTCCAAAGGCTTCTGTTTTACTAACATACACACATACATGTATGCATATGGATTTAAATAAATTCTGGTGCAGGGAAGTCTAGAAAGCAAAGAGATAAAACTCTGTGATTGGAAAGTCACTTCTGGAAACTAGACATATAGAGCAGACCTCGCTCTTACATTTCTTTTTGAAGTGCATTAATTTTTTTTTTTTTTGAAAACAATGTAGGGCCCAGTCCTGTGTTTGACATTAAAGCTGTTTCCATCAGTCCAACCAATGTGATCTTAACCTGGAAAAGTAACGACTCAGCTGCTTCCGAGTACAAGTGTGTGGTAAAGAATGAGATGGAAAATGAGACAACAGTTACCGTTGTGTATCGACCGTGGTGTAACATCACAGGCTTACGTCCTGGAACTTCATATGTGTTCTCCATCACTCCAGGAGCAGGCAATGAGACTTGGGGAGATCCCAGAGTCATAGATGTCGTCACAGGTAAGACGACTGGCTCCCAGGGATGATGACAAACCATTTCTTATTATCCTGTGTTCTAGGGCCTTGTCCATTCAAGTTGCCTGTTGGGAAGAGAGTGGTTTTCATAAACTAGAAGAGGAGAAAAGGTGCTGTGTTGTTGCAAGCCTCGGATTTCTGGTGGCCACATCATTCAGTATGAAGGCCCTCTGTGTTTTGGGAAGTTCTGACTACTTCTGTGTGGTTTTAAAAATCTTCCATTATTGTTGGTTAATACCTACTTTTCTGTTAAGACTCAGGAGTAGAGACTTCCTTAAAAACGTGTTTTCATGGTAATTACCAGCCTTTTAAGCTCCCAGGAAATTGATGCTGTGTTTGTATGCCCCGGGAGTTTCTGTTGGGCAGGGAAGTTTGGTGTATTTTATAGAGAAGTATGTGTTTCAAATGAAATAAGAGCTTGATGATATTTAAATTTTAATTCAGATTTGATAGTTTAGATTTTGATTTATCTTAGATGTCAGTGCCTAAGCCATCTATTAGAGCTGCAAACTTAGCTCTTTTTTTAAGCTGAAAAGAACCAAACATTTTAAAAAACAGGTGGAGAAACTCTTTTTTAAGGTGAAGAGAACCAAAAATTGAAAAAAGAGGTCCTCTGTTAGTTTTCTGACCTGGGGGGCTGAGGGGTGTGATCTGAGGGGCTGGAGTTGCCCATGGGCACCTGAGCTCTTGGAGCCCCCACGGCTGGAGGTGAACGAGGTCCAGCATGAAGCAGCAAACACGAAACCAGTGGCTTCCAACATTTTTAGTCAGGAAACTATTTCTTTAAACAAAACCGTGCCCAGGAGCTCAATAAGTAAAAACAAAAAGAACTGGAGAGAAAAGAGCCAAAGAAACGGGTGTCACGGGCACCCTCACAAAACTCCTGGAGCTCCTCAGAGCCCTATTTTGGGGGGGAGCGGGGGGAACCCGCTGTAAAGGTTTGCTCTGTTACCTTGTGAAAGAGAGGAAAAGAAGGAGAGCACAGAGAGATGACAGAAGAGATGAGAATGAGAGAAAAGAGCACAGAACTTGGAAATGGTGATGAGGACAAGGCGAGCCCGAGGGGGTGGCCGTGGGAAAGGGGATGCGGAGGGGCAGGAAGCACCGGTAGAGGGGCCGAGCATCCTTATCTGCCTTAAAGCCCCGAGCGCAGGGCTGCATTGGAGCAGGTCCGTCAGCTGCTGCGCATTGAGCACGGACCGTGTGCCTCGCTGTCCTTACTGTTACTTTGTCCTCACAGTAACCCTGGGGGCTGCAGTGGAAGACGCTGTAATGTGGAGAAGTTAAGTTTCTTCCGGCGTCTCAGAGTTACTGAGCTTCAAGTGGTGGGGCTGGAACCCGGAGTCTAACTCTAGACCACTGTGGCGCAGTGATGTTCGTAACAGCTATCCACAGTCACCGAGCTGGGAATTGATTGGTTCCGCGTTACTTAATAAAACAAAAAGACACGACTGACCTGATTTAGAAATCCCTGCATGAGAGACATGTGCTGTGAGGAATCATCTCACTGTTTCGGAGCTGGACGGTGCCTTAGAATCATCTAGGCCAACGTCTTCACCTTCAGACCCCTGCAGCCCTCAGGCAGGGCTCTATCTACAGCCCTACCTGTACTTTTCTGTACGTGAAGCTGCAGCCCTGGTTCTCCTGTCCCCACTGCTACTGGGAGTGTGTGTTCTTGAGCAAACCGCCCTGCCTCTCTGGGTCTCTGTGTTCTTACCGGATAAGTGAGGGGAGTGCATGTCATTTTGGGTGAAGTGGTTTGACTTATGTTACCATCAACCAAGTAAGGTGATGGGAGGAAGGGCCAGGACATAGTGGAGATGGAATATCTTCTGAAAAATCCCCTTGGGGCTGGGATATCGAATGTGCTGCTTACTTCAAATGTCGCGGTAATTTAGAATGATGTTATTTGCATTGTCTTGAATTGAGACCTTTAGATTAGTAGGCAGTCACTTTAGTTGAGGCTTTGTTCCTGATAGCTAAAACACATGTATTTAAATGCTGCCGTTTAAAAGGGACAATTTAGAAGAGTGTCCAGTCACTATTGGGGTTAATCTTGGAGACCAGTGTGGATCCTAAACAATTTCAGTTTTAAGGTTTTTTGCTTCTTTTCCGCGTTATTATTTTCTCCCCCAGCCCTGCTTTGAAATGATGGAAATGCATTGGACTGTGATAGAAAGGAAGTATTTTTAGTGAGTCACATCAGGACCTCAGTGACCTCATTCTTTCTTTTTTTCTTTTCTTTGAAAACCTGCTCCCAGCACTGAACCCCAGTCATTCTTAATGAAGGTGACTGCATATCTCTTATTCCATTAATGCATGTTGTGTTTTTAAAATAGAGCCGATTCCAGTTTCTGGTCTCCGTGTTGCCCTCACTGGTGTGAGGCAGGCTACTCTCTCCTGGAGCAATGGCGATGGCACTGCCTCCTGCCGGGTGCTTCTTGAAGGCATTGGAAGCCATGAGGAGTCGACTCAAGACTTTGCAGTCAATATCTCAGGCCTGAAGCCAGGGGTTCAATACAGCATCAACCCATATCTTCTACAATCAAATAAGACAGAGGGAGACCCCCTGGGTACAGAAGGGGGCTTGGGTGAGTTACAAAGGGTACCTCCCATCTCCCTTACTGATTCTCACTTTCAGTATCATAATGGTTTAAAAAATAAATTGCTCTTCTGTGTGTGAAGATTTAGAATTTATAGAGGGCTTTTCCTCCACATTTTAGTTTGATCCCCCACCTGCATGAGAAAGGAAGGAAACGTGTTCTGATTTTACAGGGGAACACACTGGGGCTGAGAACAGCAATAGGGATTGAAACTGTGTAGAGTCTGGTACCCGGGAAAGTGGAGGCCCCTTTAGCTTTCTCTCTTTCAATTGAGCAAATAACAGCTGTGTCAACCCAAGTTGGGCCTTCAGAGGAACTTATCACGTCTGCTGGGTGACGTTGGCGTTGTTATTTGCAGATTTCAGAGCATTTGTAGAGGATCCCCAGGCTAACTCCACGAGGAGGACAGGAACTTAACCTGCATTGTACACTTAGGAAAACAGCCACGGAGTGGGTGTCAGGATCCTTGCTTGCAAGTGACAGAAACCAGACTTTGGATAGCTCAGACAGAAGGAACAATTTATTGTCTCGTGTGGATTTTCCTGCTAGCGGGAAGCCTTAGAGAAAGAGATGAGGCAATTTTCATCCCTCCCTCCTGCTTCTTTCTGTTTATCAGCTTCATTCTCAGAGCAGCTCCCTCTGCACACTCAAGGAGCCCAGCTGCTCCCGTTTCACACCCTGCAGCTGCCCCACCAGCCAAGGTCTGGTCCAGGGAAACGTGTCTTGAGTGGGGTCTGATTAGCAAAGTCTGCTTCACAGAGCTATCCCTGGAAATCCATGCTGGGACAGGAGAAGAAAACGTCCCAAAGAAGGGAGAATGACCTGAAATAAGCAGAGTTTGAAAGAGAAGCACCAGATATCTGTGGTGCTACTGGAATAACAGTACAAATGGAGATGGAGCTATCAGGCCTTTTTATGGGGCTGCTTCTCTCTCTGGAGGAGGAAGGGAGCAGATATTGATGGAGCACCAACTGTGGCCACTGTCTGATGGCCATCGGATGGGGCGGGGGGCTCCAAAGGAAGATGGGGGATGTGTCCCTCTTGTGGTTGATGTCTTTTTGTCTCCTGTGCTTGAAACAGATGCCAGCAACACAGAGAGAAGCCGGGCAGGCAGCCCCACCACCCCTGTGCACAACGAGTCCCTCCTGGGACCTGCGGACTCATCCTCCAGCCAGCAGTCCCGAGACACGGAAGTCCTGCTTGTCGAGTTAAAGCCTGGCACCCGATACAATGCCACCGTTTATTCCCAGGCAGCGAATGGCACAGAAGGACAGCCCCAGACCATAGAGTTCAGGACAAGTAGGTTGAACTTTGTAAAATGGTGGCAGCCAGAGTTTCCTAGCACAGTGTTCTGTCTCCTGTGATTCCGATTCTGAGTGATTTCTTGCATAACAACTAGTTTTGATGTCAGAGGGAGCTTTCTGGAGGAGATTTTGGACAGAGCAGATCTGCTCAGTTTCTTCTTAACTCCGTGGGCAGTGCACATCTCTCATTAAGTGAAATCAGATACACGGAGCAGCCCGTGTGTGAGCACCGGGCACTGCCTCGCGCCGTCTTTCACAGCTCTGCGTGGTGGCCGATGACACAAACTGGCGTCATACTTTCCTCTTAAAAATAGATCATCATTGCTTATTTTTCCCCTACTTTGAGTTAAGAAAGTGAGTTTCGTTTTGTCGCCTGCCCTCGTTATTCGTACCAGTCTTTCTGTTGAAATGCTTGTTGAAATGCACATTGCTGCTTCCTCGCTGTAATGTATCAGCACTTTCACTCTGTAAGTTCACCAATATTTGGAGGCTTTGGTGAAAAGAGCGGGAGGGGAACACGTTTGGGAATACCTAGCGGTAGTTACTGGCCAGGCTGTGTTACTTGTACGGGGCTAGAAGTTTTGGCAAGACATCGGTGAGAAGCCATGTCTGTAAGGAATGACAGCTTTTCGTGGTATTCACATTGAAGGAGGGTCCATTTGTGTCCTTCCTTCCCCTTGTACTTGTTTTGCTAACATCGGGGTGGGTGGGGAGGATGTGGCTGTAGGAGAGGCCACCTGACTTCATTGGGTCCGCAGTGACCTGGCAGGAGTGGCAGGCGGGAGGCTCTCGGGTGAGGAGGGCTTGGATTCCAGAGGGTGGGTTAGTTGGAGGAGGAGGAGGAAGGGGCTCCTACATGGGTGCGGTTGGCAGTGGTGGGGTGTCCTGCACACGGTAAGCTTGCGTGAGAGGGTGAAAGGGGCTGAAATCTGGCCTGTGTGCCCTGCATCAAGCCATGCACCCAGGGCTGGGCCCAGCCAGGAGAAGGGCCCTTTGCCTGATTTGCTCAAATGACTCATGAATTCGTGTGGGCCTGGGGTCCCTGTTTTTTAAAGCAGTTTGAGCAAAAGCAAAGTAGTAGTGATTACATCTCAGGTTCTTGGTGGTGTGAATTCACACACATCCTGGTTTGCGTTGAACTGTCTTCATGCTTGGTAAATAATCATTATAGTAGCCTTTCCCTCTCTCTAAGGGGCGAGTGTGTGTGTATAAATAAATCTGACTCAGTTTGGGCTGCTGTAACAAATGGCCATGCACTAGATGGCATAAACAATGAACATTTATGTCTCAGGGTTCTGGAGGCTGGAAGTCTGAGACTGGGGTGCTCCAGCATGCCTGGGCTCTGGGTGAACACCGTCTTCCTCTTCCGGGTTGCAGGCTCCCTGGGTCTTCATGTGGTTGAAGGGGTGAGGGAGGGGTTTCTCTCCAGCCTCTTTGATAAGGGCACTAATACCATTTGGGAGGGAGGTAATCCATGACCTAATTGCCTCCCCAAAGCCCCACCTCCAAAAACCGTCATATCAGGGGTTAGGATTTCAACACAGGAATTTTATGGGGGCAGAAACATTCAGTCTGTTGCAACACACGCGCGCGCGCACACACACACACACACACAAATACATATTTCCACCCACCTCAGAGCACCCTGCACTTTTCAAGTGACTAGTTAGGTGGGGCAGGGTTAAGGAAACCATCAGAGGACATAGTTGAGGCACCCAAGACTCGTCCACAGCAGAAAGCCACCTCGAGGGCTGAAGGGCTAGAGGAGGACGGTGTTTCTGGAGCCCAGTGAGAGCTGGGGCAGTGGAGGACACAGCTGTGTCAGAACAGGAGGCCCAGAGCAGGAGGCGATGGAGGAAGGCACCGACTCCTTTCTCCTGTGGCCCTTCAGGGGCCTGCCCATTGGCTCATGGTGGAACCTGGTCACAGCCCACGTGGCAAGACCCCCCTGTGACGCCTTGTGCAGGGTCAACCTCCTGGGCACAGAGCAGGTGAGGGAAGGACAGCGGACACGTCGGGAGGGTGGGGTGGGCAGGTGGCGAATAACTGGCACTTGGGTTGTCTTTTCTTGAGGTTAGGATTGCTCTCCCAGTTTGATAGATGAGGAAGCTGAGCTCCAGTGGTTTTCCTGTGGCCCAATTGGGTGTCACAGCAGAGTGAGCCCTGGAACCCAGGCCTGCCTTGTCCTGACTTCTGTGATGTTAGGCGATCACGTAGATCGCAGTGTTCGCTTTTGCATCATTTGTGTTTGACAACTTTTCTGGGTGCCCCTGGCCCTAGGGTAAGACATGCATAGAGTCCAAGTCATCATTTAGGTCAAATCTCTAAAGTCAACTTACAAAAAGGAGCAAAGAATAACCCTGTAGGTGCCATTGGCCAGGTTGTTTCTTCACCGTCTGATGATGCCTGACTTTGGCTGGGACCCTCATGCTTTCCTAGCCGTGGCTGATGGTGCAGAGGAGGAAGGAACACTCCCCAGGAGTTTCCTGGGCTCGACAGCATGCCCTGATGACCTCTCCCTCCCTCTGCCTTGGCCGTTCTGGTTATTTTGAACTCCTCTTGTGTTCTCACAGATGCTATTCAGGTTTTTGACGTCACCATTGTGAATATCAGTGCCACAAGCCTGACCCTGACCTGGAAAGTCAGTGATAATGAGTCGTCATCTAACTATACCTACAAGATACATGTGGCGGGGGAGACAGATTCTTTCAATCTCACCGTCAGCGAGGCTCGCGCTGTCATCTCGGGACTCCGCTCAAGCACCTTCTACCGCATCACAGTGTGTCCTTTCCTAGGTGACACTGAGGGCACACCGGCCTTCCTCCAAGTGTACACCCGTGAGTTCATGCCTGGCTCTCGCCACCCTTTCCTGCTGTCGTGCTACATGGTAGGCCCAAACACAGGATGGTGATATAATAATGGTGACTGTCAGCTGACCACACGCCGAGCTTCGTGTGACGTGCTTTCCTCGCACTGGCACATTGTATGCTCACAACAGCCCTGTGACATGGTTGGCAGTAGCCTTATTTTATAGATAGGAAGCCAAGGCTGAGAGAGGTGCTAGACAGGTGTCACAGCTGGAAAGTGGCAGAGGTGAGATGAAGCCTCTGGTATTTCTCACCTGGAGCCTGCGCTTGTAACTCCCTTTCCAGTGTGGAGGAAACCTAGAGTGAATTAATACATGGAGACAAAAATGACCTGGATATTCATGTCCCCTTGTGTCTTGGGTGCTGATATTATAATGAATCACTGGCACAGCTGCATCTCATCTTTGTTTGTTTAAATGTCCCTTTAAAATAAGATTTTATGCAGCAAATAAAAAGCTTTTGGTTCCAAAGAAGGTCCAATAATGTAAAATAAAACAGTAATGGTGCACTAGTGGTATGGTGGTATAATATTGATTATATACGATTAAACAATAGTAGTGACACCAGCACTGCATTTTGCACTGTGCCAGGAGATTTATAGACACTGCAGTGGCCTCCATGGTAGGTATTGGGGTCCCCTTTTACAGATGGGGGAACGATACCCTCATGGCTGAACAGTTTGCCCAGGGCCGCAGAGCTAGTGAGTGGCAGAGCAGGACTTGAACCCAGGCGTGTGTGGCTCTGGACCCAGGGCTTATCCCACAAAAATGTCCATTCCTTCCCAGGAAGCACACCTTAGCATTCTTACAGATGTATTTTGGACTGGCTCTTTGGGAAAATGAAATATGCTTGCATTTCTTTACCTTTTACTTTACTCTTTTACTATTTATTAGTTAGGATTAGGTTCAGCCACGAATAGCACCACTAAAAACAACAACAACAAACCCCAAGTATCCGTGGTTTAAACAAGACGGGTTTACTTCTCCCTCCTGTAACAGAAGCCCAGTGCTAGGCAGGATGGGGACGGTAGAGGTTATGCAGGACTCAACTGCATGACACAGAAACTGTGAGCTCTTTTAACCAAAAGGGATTTATCCTGACAATTGAGGTGTCGCAGAATCATTGGAAGAGCTGGTGTATTAGTTCGCTAGGGTTACCAGAACAAGTACCAAAGGCTGTGTGGCTTAAACAACAGAAATAGACTTTCTCATAGTTCTGGAGGCTGAAGGTTAAAAGATTAAGGAGCGGCAGGTGTGGTTTCTTCTGAGGCCTCCCTCTTGGCTTATAGATGACTGTCTTCTCCCTCACGTGGTTGTCCTTAGTCTGCGTGTGCCCATGTCCTCATCTCCCTTTGTAAGGACACCGGTCTTGCTGGATTAGGGCCTACCTTCACGACCTCACATTAACTTAATTACCTCTTTAAAGACCCTGTCCAAAGACAGCCACATTCTGAGGTCTTGAGGGTTAGGACATAAACATATACATTTGGGGGTGGGGGAGCACAAGTCAGCTCATAACAGCTGGGGAGCAGGCGTTAGGCCTGGCCCCAAGAAATGACTCCTGGACAAGGCTGCAGAGCTGATCCCCTGGAGAGTCACCACCTTGGTCACAGACAGCAGAGGGAGGAATCAGGGAGTCCCTGCTGTAGTTGCTGGATTCAGGGGTGTATGTTCTGAGCTGTGATCCTGGGATCAGGAAGCTGCAGCCACCGCTGTAGTGTTGGAAGCCAGGCAGCGTGAGCTCCAGTCATCGCATCCACACTCCAGCTATAAGAAGGAGGAAGGACAGAAGGTTGTGCTCCACCCTTAAAGGACACTTCCTAGAAGTCACCCAGTACCTCTGCTCTCGCTCTGTTGACCAAGACTTAGTCACATGCAACATCTAGCTGCATGGGAAGCTGGGAAATGTGGTCTTTGTTTGAACAGCTGTGCACACACAGTGCTAAAAATCTGGGTGGGTATGATGAAGGGAAAACAGGGAAATGGATTTTGGGGGTCAAGAGTGGTCTCTGCTGTCCGTCCCTGAACAGAGGCTCTGGGAGGCTAGTAATGCATTCAAGATAAAGCAGCCCGTGTGGCCAAGGTTCTCCTCCAGAGCCTGAGCCCTGGACCACAGGAGCTCACGCCTCCTCTCATTTCCTGTGAATGACTGTGTGCAGTGTGAGCACGGAGCTTCTGCACTCTCATGGTCAAGTGCTCTCTCCATGGCCAGAAACAGCTGTTTCTGAGGGGCTCGTGTTGTAGATGATGATACAAAGAAGAAAAAGAGAGGGATCAGGTGTCCTAAGTGTACATTTCATCTCAGTGTAAATATTTTCTGAAGTGGGACATCCCTGTCTCCTGGAGAAATATATTTTTAATCTAGTTGTTTACTTTCTTTGCATAGCCCCTGGTCCAGTTTCTGACTTCCGAGTGACAGTGGTCAGCACGACGGAGATCGGCTTAGCATGGAGTAGCCATGATGCAGAATCCTTTCAGATTCATATCATATGCATATCCTGTGTGCAGGAGGTTGCTTGGGGAGAAATAACCACCAACCAAAGTATTATCATTGGTAACTTGTTCCCTGGAACCAAGTATTGCTTTGAAATAGTTCCAGAAGGACCAAATGGGACTGAAGGGGCGTCTCGGACAGTTTGCAATAGAACTGGTAAGCAAATAGGCTTTTCTGTTAAACCGTCATGTTTCTTAAAGGAAATCAGCATAATTAATAAACATAATGTTTCCAAATATTGTTTTTCTTTTAATTATCTAAGAAAAACCTTTAACAATTTTCATAATAACAGTAATGCTTATTTTATGAAATACAGGCAAGTAGAAAAAACTTACATGGAAACCATCAAACAGAGATAATCACTCTTGATGTATGACATTTTATAATTTTTAAACATGTATACTTACATATATTTAATACATACATATTTAATACATATATATAATACACACACACACACACACATATATATATATTTTTGAGACAGTCTTACCCTGTCACCCAGGCTGGAGTGCAGTTGTGTGATCTCGGCTCACTGCAACCTCCACCTCCTGGGTTCAAGCAAAGCTATTCTTGTGCCTCACCCTCCTGAGTAGCTGGAATTACAGGTGTGCGCCACCATGCCTGGCTAATTTTTATACTTTTAGTAGAGACGGGGTTTTGCCATATTGGCCAGGCTGGTCTTGATCTCCTGATCTCAAGTGATCCACCCATCTCAGCCTCCCAAAACGCTGGGATTACAGATGTGCACCACCGCGCCCAGCCCACAAATATATATGTATTTCTTTGACAAACATTGAGGCCATCTGTACATGTGGTTTTGTAATCTGCCTTTTCCCCAACTTGCCAATTAATTATGAATATTCTTTCCTCTTAATACAATATTTCTACAAGATGATTTGAACACCTGCCTGGAATTCCATCATCTGAAACAGAGTTGGCAGATAAGAATGGCCCCTACGCCAAATTTGGCTCACTGTCTGTTTTTGTAAATAAAGTTTTATTGGATCACAGCCATGTTCATTTTCTTATGTACTGTCTATAGCTACTTTGGTGCTAGAATTGAGTAGTGGCAACAGAGAATGTGTGGCTTGTGAAGCCTGAGATATTTATTTTCTGGCCATTACAGAGAATGTTTGCTGACCTCTGGGCTAGATCAGTGGTTTTCAAATTGTGGTCCAGGGCTCTCTAGGGATCCCTAGGTTCTTTCAAGGTGTCTCCAAGGTAGTATTATCGTAACAATACTAAAACGTTATTTGACTTTTTCATTCTCATTCTCTTTTGGAGTTTTCCAACTTTGATCTGACATAGGATGACCTTGTCTCTCTGAGGGCTAATGGAATATATGCTGTAGATTCTTACATTTAAAAAATTTCTTCATTTTAAATCCCCGATATAGTAAATCTTAATAAATATAACCTATGTAAATACAAATTCTCTGAGAGCCTTAATAACCTTTAAGAAGGTAAAGAAGTCCTGAGAGCAAAAAGTTTAAGAAACTCTGGTCAAGATGTATTAGAAATTAACTACTGTGCTGTGTTGGGCAGGTGGACTCTTGACAGTCTTTCATAAACAACACTGTGATGTGATAGTTTGTCAGTTCTAGGCTAATTGAAATTGATAAAATCATTTTGTAGTCAGCTACGGTGGCCTGCACCCATAGTCCCAGCTACTTGAGAGGCTGTGGCAGGAAGATTTGCTTGACCCAGCGGTTGCAGACCAGCACCAGCCTGGGAGACCCTGTCTCAAAAAAAATTTTTTTTAATAGAAACAGTTTAAATAAATTATTAAATTGTTTCTAGCCCCACAGGAGAAACTTCTGGAAAATTCTAGAGAGTAATTTTTTTATCGTTTTAAAAATTTGAAATTTTTTTTTTTGAAAGGTTGAAAAACATACAGTCTTCCTAGATCTTTGATTCAAGATAGTTGAAATCTTTTATACAGAGGGTAGAATAAAGAAATGGGACAGATTCCTTGAAACACACATGAAATGAGTTAGGCTTTTGAGATTCTCCTTGAAGAAGCTTCTTCAACTGTGCTGGTTAGGTTAAGCACCAATAGTCATTCAGAGGATCTGCTTCCGAAATAAGGGGTCTACTAAAATGCATCCCTCAGATGAAATGCAGTATTCCCTTTGCAAGTCTGCATTTTAGACTGTTGACATGAAGTCTTAACATCAACATGTTTCTTCTGTCTTTTAAGGATATGGATAATGGTAAGAGGATCACCACTGACGGGGATGTGTGATATCGTGCTACTTGCTATTGCTCAGAACTTACTGTAACAATAATATAATATGTTGAGGGTCTGCAAAGTGCTGAGTGCTCTCATACTATATTTTACATTTTTAACACAACTTCATGGAGCAGGTATTATTATCATTTCTGTCCTAGAGTAAGAAATGGGGGCTCTGCGAACTTAAGTAACTGGCCCAGAGTGATGAGGCAAACTGACTTGTGTCTGGTGTCTAAGACCAAGTGCTTATCCACCATGTAGATTGACACTTTGATGTGGTACAGCAGTAAAGTTTAGTATTAGTGAGGAGAAGGCATCTCTTTTACTATAGTTTATTATGAATGTTCTTTTCTCTTAATATCAGTATTTCTGCAGGGTAATTTTCACATGGTAATTTTAACACCCGCCTGGAATTCCATTGTCTCAAAGGACCCATTTCATTCAGTGGTCCCATTGAATGAAAGTCAAGAAGGCTTGCTATATGATCTAAACTCTTTGGGAGTTAGTTTTCTATTATTGAACAACCTTTATTGTTATTGAAAAAAGTCAGCTTAACAGCATTAAAAGCAATTTTGAAAAAAGGAAATGAATAAGTAATTCCAGTCCTATGTATATCTCCAAAAGAATTGAAAACAGGGCCTTGGACAGTTATTTGTACATCAGTGTTTATGGTAGTAGCATTGTTCACAGTAGCCAAAGGGGGACCGAAGATCCCATCAACAAATGAATGGATAGACAAAATGTGGTTCATCCATACAACAGAGTATTATTCAGCCTAAAAAAGAAAGAAGTTCTGATTTATGGTACAACATGGATGGATCTTGAGGACATTATGCTAAGTGAAATAAGCCAACACAGAAGGACAAATACTGGATGATTCCACTTACCTGAGTACCTAGATTAGGCAACTTAATATTCTACAGAAATTAGAATAGAGGTTACCAGGGGCTGTGCAGAGGGAGTGGGCATTATTATTTCATGGCTACAGTTTATGCTGGGGATGATAACAGTGTTTTGGGTACAGGTAGTGGTGATGGTAACACGACATTGTGAATGTTGATGACACCGAATTGTACACTGACCGATGGTTAAGATGATGAATATTATGGTATGTATGTCTTACCACAATAAAAAGAAAAAGAAACAAATATCTCTACTTTTCTAACCCAACCAAATTCCTTTTCTCTCTATGTCCACATTTTGCTTGTATTACTGTAATTATTATACAAGTACTTTTATTTTGTATTTGAATTTTTCTTTTTTTTTACTCAGTCTATACCACAACTTTCCCCTATAGTTATCATGGTCTTCATGTTTTTATGGCTGCAGAATATTTCATCATGCAGCCAGATCACAGTGCCCACAGCCCTCCCCATGTTATTGAATATTTAGGTTGTTTCTAGTTTTTTATGTTTATAGGCAAAGGCTGCCTTTCATGGTCTTTTGTCTGTGGAATTCCTTTGACACCAGGAATCTGCCAGTAGGAAACAAAGGCTTCTCCCAGTGGCTTCTCTTTAAGGAGAACACACTTAAGATTTAAAAAAAAAAAATTAATTTTGGAGTAGATTGTACGTAAACATGGCACTTTTTTTTATTTTTTAGGACAAGGTGTTTGCAGTGAAAGCATTTCCCTTTTTTGTCCCCTACCTGCCCATTTCCTCTCCCTGGAGGCGATGTTTGTTGCCAGGTAAAGAGAGACGGGGTTGAAAGCTGCCCTGGAAAACAGGCCCTGCCTCCGTGGTTACTTCCGGGCCTCGACTTCCGGGCATCCCTGGTGCAAGTGGCTGAGTGTGCAGCCGGGAGATGATTGGCGGATGGGCTCCTGTGGGGGACTCCGCTTCTGACTCGGCCCTGAGGGTGCAGGGTGTGCCCGTTTTCTTCCCTTCCTCATCCGTCCTCAAATGCTGCAACGTAGTAAAGGTCAGCTCTCCATTTCAGTTCTCCTCTTCAGTATGTCAGGCAGTGTCACGGGGAGATGTTTCCTTCTAAATGAGTGATTTAAAAAAACAAAACAAAACAAAAAAACCTCTCTATTGAGATGTAATATACATACCGAAAAGGGACGTATCCTCAGCGCATAGCTTCATGAACTTTTACAAACTGAACACACCTCGTTACCAGCACCCATATCAAGAAACTGAATGTGATTTCCACTTCAGATGACCCCTTGAAGGGCTTTTTTTTTTTTTTTTTTGAGACAGAGTTACGCTGTTGTCGCCCAGGCTGGAGTGCGATGGCGCGATCTCGGCTCAACGCAACCTCCGCCTTCCGGGTTCAAGCGATTCATTCTCCTGCCTCAGTGGCTGGGACTACAGGCATACGCCACCGCAGCCGGCTAATTTTGCACTTTTTTTAGTAGAGATGAGGTTTCTTCATGTTGGTCAGGATGGTCTCAGACTCCTAACTTCATGTGATCCGCCCGCCTTGGCCTCCCAAAGTGCCGGGATTACAGGCATGAGCTGCCGTGCCTGGCTGCCTTTTTTCTTTTTTTTTTTTTTGCGGCAGAGTCTCATTCTGTCGCCCAGGCTGGAGTGCAGCAGTACTGTGATCTCGGCTCACTGCAACCTCTACCTTCTGGGTTCAAGTGGTTCTCGTGCCCCAGCCTCCCGAGTAGCTGGGATTATAGGTGTGTGCCACCACACCCAGCTAATATTTGTATTTTCAGTAGAGATGGGTTTTCAGCATGTTGGCCAAGCTGGTCTCGAACCCCTGACCTCAAGTAATCCACCCATCTCAGCCTCCCAAAATGTTGGGATTACAGGCATAAGCCACTGCACCCAGCCTAAGGGCTCATTTTTATGACAAGAACAAAAAACTAGAGAACTGGTAAGATAAACTGGGAAGTTCGTCTGCGTCGTGGAAGAGCTAAAATTCTTGAGAGCACCAAGTGTGTGCATTTCTCAGCTCGATTTTGGAGTGTGCCTTTTATGAACTCATTTGAAAGTGTGATGGCAGAAGAGCAGGTTCTCTCGACAGCACTTGGAGAGGAAGCTAGGCCTCATGATAGTCAGTAATGGGTTTCCCTTCTTCCTTTCTTCTGAGCAGCTCCCAGTGCAGTGTTTGACATCCACGTGGTCTACGTCACCACCACGGAGATGCGGCTGGAGTGGAAGAGCCCAGGCAATGCTTCCGAGTATGTCTACCATTTAGTCATAGAGTCTAAGCATGGCTCTAACCACACAAACACATCTGACAACGTGGTCACTCTCCAGGGCCTGATCCCGGGCACCTTATATAACATTACCATCTCTCCGGAAGTGGACCACATCCCGGGAGACCCCAGCTCCACTACACAGTACACACGTAAGTCTCTTAGGATGCCCTTCTAAGGAACAACCTCTGTAACCGTCTCTTGGAGGAGGCACTGGTTAAATGATGGCCAGTGTGCTTCTAGGATCCAGGTTGACCCTGAAACTGCTAAAGTTGAAAACATTGGTCTCAGCAACGGTTCTGCTGTCCGCATGGGGCACTGTTCTTCAAGCTATGTGAACTTAGAATTGTCATTAGAAGCAAGAAGTGATTCCTTGGGAGTGGAGACTGAAACTGTTCTAGTCATTCCTTGAGAGTACAGAGTAGAGAAGGGTCACCTTGTCATGTTGGTACTGGAAGATACTGCCCAGATGAGAAGCTTTACCTGCGATAGTGAGGGAGGTGTTTTGCAAATATTTGAATCAAATACATGGTAAAGATGTTTGTAATATGTTTTTAGTATATTTTTCTCCTTCATCTATTAGATTTGAAAAACAGATTAGAAATTATATCTTAAAAATATATTTGAAATAAACGAAGTATTAAAAGAAGCCTAAATTAAACTTCTTTTGAGATTTAATCTGTATAATGATTTTCTTGATGTGTTTTGGGGAAGTTTTCCATCTTTTGAGCCAGCAAATACTAGCTTTGTTCATTCTTTCTAAAATGAGCCAGGCTATTTTTGGATATAGTAAATAGTCCTGGAATTCTGGTTAATCTGTGCTTTTACACGAATTGCCTTTTTTTAAAATCAAGGGCCCAGCAATGTGTCCAACATTGATGTAAGTACCAGCACCACAGCAGCAACTTTAAGTTGGCAGAACTTTGATGACGCCTCTCCCACGTACTCCTACTGCCTTCTTATTGAGAAGGTTGGAAATTCCAGCAACGCAACACAAGTGGTCACGGGCATTGGAATTACTAACGCTACTGTCACTGAATTAATACCTGGCTCGTCATACACAGTGGAGATCTTCACACAAGTAGGGGACAGAATCAAGTCACTGGAACCTGGCTGGAAGTCATTCTGTACAGGTGAGTGTAGCCCCAGCTGCCTCTTGGACTCCTCCCTGAGTGGTGCTGACCTGGCAGGTCAGTCCTCCACAGTCTGTAGTTTGTTTGGTTTTGTGTGATGTGCAGTGATCGAGCTTTCTGAGGCATCCTGTTAGCTTATTGGTGCTGTCTCCATGCCCTCATCATTTCTGCATTCAATAAATATTTATTGAGCATATACCATATGCCAGTCAAGTCCTTGCCTTCTTGGAACTTTTATTTTGGAAGGAGGAAGTGGAATGTGTATCTAGGATGCTCAGGAAAGGCCTCAGTGAGAAGGTGACTTTTGAGCAAAGATCTGAATAAAGGGAAGGATGCAGCTATTTGGATATCAGGGCATGAGAGCATTACAGGCAGAGGCTTGTGCAGAGGGGCCTGTGCACCGTGTTCTGGAGGCTGGAGGAAGAGCGGGAGGCAAGGATGGGAGGAGTGGACCCACAGGAACAGGAGGGTGTGGGTGGGAGGTGAGGCTTGGGTGGGGCTGGGCCAGGACGTGGATGATGGTCTGGCATTGGTTTGTCTTTTGCGCTGGAGAAGACGGAAAGGTTATTGTTGAAATGATGCCCAGCCTTTGTGTCCTTCTGGATCCTCCCCTATCTCACAACTCAAAATGTGTGATAAAGAGAAGAGCCCTGTGTGTGACTGAGGATGCTTGCAGGGCAGTCCAGGGAAGGCTTTGCAGACAGTGGTGGGCACTTCTGCTCATAGTGCTGTCTGTAGCACCTTTATCACTCAGCACCTGTGCACTACTCATTTTATGCTCACCTTGCTCCTACCTCTTCCCTTTTTAGCCCAGGCCATTCATATGTTCAGGCTGATTTGGAAGTGGGGGTCTCATGGGATCAGCCTCCCTGGTAGTGTAGGAGCTCCACCTGTGATGGCCTCTGGCCTTTCAGTGGTCAGTGGGGTGGCCACAGAAATCCCTGCAGCTTTGGGTCACCTCTGTTCCATCCCACCTGGTCCAGACACCCATCTTTGATATTTGGGTGCCTTTCATTGCTGATATTTGTCTTAGCTATAGTTATTTGTAGCCTATAGCCAGAGAAAAAGTGTATCCGAGCATTTATGACTGAGTATGGGTGGAACAGGAACTGTGAAAGTAGGTGCGGTGTTCAGATTACCTTTCCAGGCCTTGGGTGGCGAATGTGGGAGTTGCACTAGGTGCCTTGGTAGAGCTTCTCCTGCTCTAAAATTCTGTGATGTTCAATTAATGATAATACTGTCCTCCAGTTTTAATATGGAGTTTTCCATTTAGATTAGTTTGATGTTAGTCCTCAGTAAAAATCTGTTGGCCCTCAGAGACAACACTCTATTTTGAAGATGAGGAAGCTGATACCATTTGTCATTGATGATGCAGTATGTTATGTGAATAGAGAGTGTCTTGAATTTAGACTTAGAAAACCTGGGATCTCGTTTTGGCTTCACCACCTGCCATGTCATCATCAGCCAATTACTTAACCTTTCTGAGCCTCTGTGGATTTATCTGCAGATGGGACAGTATGGGCCT